AAACTAACCACCACCAGCTAAACAAAATATTACAAAATCATTACCATGCTTGTGGTTTAGGAAAGGTTCTGCGGCTGCCACTACTAGAGTACAAAACAGCAACATTGTAATGAGTTGATTTCAATAAGCTCATGCCATCCATCTCTGTTAAGCAGAACAAAATATTGTACCATTAAACGGCTGTTCCAGATGCTGCAATAATACAACTTTGAGCAAAATCAGTATTTAGTATTCAGAACAGCATGTCACACAGGTGCACAGTCTTTCTGGGTTCATTTTATTGTGCTACATTTGATTTAAGTGGATTGGCAGGCTGTATTTGAACTGTGCCCTCTCAAGGATGGTACTTGGGGGGGAAATAAATGGGATTATGAAATGTGGTGACCAGTCTGGGCAGTCGATGTACAATGTACGATACAATTTGTGGCATCAGATACGGTTCCAGTAAAAAAAAAAACTGTGCAAATCAATTGTAAACATCAAAAGTTTGAAATATCATCTCTCGGGAGGGTCAAATGTTACATATATGCTTAGTTTCTATTGTCAGTTCAATGTAAAATCAATTTGTGTTTAAATCAATAGGCTGGAAACTGACAAGCAGTCAGATCCTAAAGGATGTGCTGCTCATGCTATCTATAGATTGGAAGCACAGTGGGCATCATTCTATGCCAACACTATGTTTGCCATGGAACAGTCAGTCCTACTTCTCAGAATCAGCCTTATCATGGTTTGAATATCCTGTCTTATCTATATGCTGTAACATGTTGGGTAAGCGCATTGAACAATTTGTTTCTAACACCCCAGGGCATCATCCGATAACTCCAGCTGCTAAATGTATCTGACAGCATCCCCCCGTTATGACACTGTACTTGCCTCTCATTCAAATTCAGAACAGGAAGCACAGCAAAGAAGAAGAACAACAACAACACCAGAAAAAAAGATTAACAGAAAGAAAACAAGCCAGAGCACTTCTGTTTGACATGACGAACATGCACAATATTAACAAGATCCTATCGGAGAGGGGAACAAAACGCAACAGTCCTCATTCATTCTTCCATGCAGGCATTCCTTTGTTTTTCCATATCGAGCTGCCCGGAGGCCATTAGATCGGTCCCGCCAAAAAGCTGACAACTGTGTGTGGCTTTCAGAGCTCAGCCATTTTAAATCTGCCATCCATCTCCATGAAAACCAGAGCATGTGACGTGGGTAATCAGTCAGTCGGCCATGCGTGTGAGTGTAGTGCGATACTGCCCACTGCTCTTGTCTTGTTGGTGACAAAATTAAGGGGACGGCTGGACGTGTGTGTGCTGACCCTATGACCCATCCACAGCCTTTTAGTTCACCTAAACAATTTTTTATAATATTCAATACGCAACATTTCTGAGGTCTCTAAATTATTAACCTGATCAAAACTTGCTGTACACAATCTTGTGCATGCCTTCTGTCATATAATTGATAGTTTATGCTTTTTTAGCAAGTCGGTTTTAGTGTAATTCTTGTGCCTTTTTGCTGTGAACGTTTAACTGAATTTTATAAGTAAAGGTAGGAAAACAAATATTTTAAGAACTGTTGACTGAAATGTTCTTTGGGAACCTGCAGTCTTTTTTGTACATCTCTCATTCAAGATGGTATTGTATTATATATATCTGCCATCATTCATGTTTAAATATGAGCTACATATTCTCCAATATCATACTATATGGACCATAAAAGCCTGATATATCAAATATGGTACTCAACAAAAAAACACATGCAAAATGTTTTTTATAATATATTCATTATATTTGTCAAAAAGTTCAATAGAATGCTTTAAAAATAAAACATGTCAGGCTGTACAGAGTTAAAGGACAAAGCTGCTGCCATGTTCCACCACAACAGTACAACTTTACAGACATTTCAAACTAAGTACGGATTTTACAATCACCCTGCACTTCAGCAACTGAAGTGTGTCATGGTCAGATGAAGTAATGAGGCCGTAGCCCTCCACTCTTCTCACCATTGAAACCATCCCACATCTCTCTGCCCTCTGCCGTGTTTCATCTAAGCATACATAATCACTTCTGCATCCATTCATTATTTGAGCTTAATGAGCAGTGCCCGTGAGACATACTGAGCTCATTGAAGCTTCATGGCCACTCGTAGGCCCATCCAAATGGCAGCATGGATGCAAACAGATGTGGTGCCAACACGCAGATGCTCTCACAACTCGCTGCTGATCATTTTAGTGACAGTTCAGTGGTGAGCACTTGGTGACCAGTGAACAGAGCACTCAAAGAGCAGTCAATTATTTATTAAAGTTGAATGCTTATATGCAGATTGTTTACAAATGTAAGAGCACACATTCACAAAGAAAGAAACGGAACAGACATGGGATGTGTTTTAAAATTGTGTATGCTGTTTACCTAGACAGCTTATTTGGTGCCTGATACCCAAAAATTCTCTAAAAGCCTATTATGACTAAAAATGCTTCATGAGCTTATGATGCCCAAAACTGCTGCAGTGTCCTACAATGCCACAAAATGCTGCATGTATCCATGATGCCCAAAAATTATCCCTAGAAATATGCTGTATGCACCTATAATGCCCGAAATTGCTGCAACGGCCTATAATGCCTAAACAATTCTGCATGCGTCTTATGATGCCAAAAAAACATGGCATGTGCCTATGATGCCAAAAAAATGCTGCATGCATCCATGATGCCTAAAAATGATCCCTAGGAATAAGCCTAAAATATGCTGTATGCACCTAAAATGACCAAAAAATGCTGCAACGGCCTATGATGCCTAAACAATTCTGCATGCATCTTACGATGCCAAAAAAAAAAAAAACCTAGCATGTGCCTATGAACAAAGCTGCTGCCATGTTCCACCACAACAGTACAACTTTACAGACATTTCAAACTAAGTACGGATTTTACAATCACCCTGCACTTCAGCAACTGAAGTGTGTCATGGTCAGATGAAGTAATGAGGCCGTAGCCCTCCACTCTTCTCACCATTGAAACCATCCCACATCTCTCTGCCCTCTGCCGTGTTTCATCTAAGCATACATAATCACTTCTGCATCCATTCATTATTTGAGCTTAATGAGCAGTGCCCGTGAGACATACTGAGCTCATTGAAGCTTCATGGCCACTCGTAGGCCCATCCAAATGGCAGCATGGATGCAAACAGATGTGGTGCCAACACGCAGATGCTCTCACAACTCGCTGCTGATCATTTTAGTGACAGTTCAGTGGTGAGCACTTGGTGACCAGTGAACAGAGCACTCAAAGAGCAGTCAATTATTTATTAAAGTTGAATGCTTATATGCAGATTGTTTACAAATGTAAGAGCACACATTCACAAAGAAAGAAACGGAACAGACATGGGATGTGTTTTAAAATTGTGTATGCTGTTTACCTAGACAGCTTATTTGGTGCCTGATACCCAAAAATTCTCTAAAAGCCTATTATGACTAAAAATGCTTCATGAGCTTATGATGCCCAAAACTGCTGCAGTGTCCTACAATGCCACAAAATGCTGCATGTATCCATGATGCCCAAAAATTATCCCTAGAAATATGCTGTATGCACCTATAATGCCCGAAATTGCTGCAACGGCCTATAATGCCTAAACAATTCTGCATGCGTCTTATGATGCCAAAAAAACATGGCATGTGCCTATGATGCCAAAAAAATGCTGCATGCATCCATGATGCCTAAAAATGATCCCTAGGAATAAGCCTAAAATATGCTGTATGCACCTAAAATGACCAAAAAATGCTGCAACGGCCTATGATGCCTAAACAATTCTGCATGCATCTTACGAGGCCAAAAAAAAAAAAAAACCTAGCATGTGCCTATGATGCCCAAAAATGCTGCACGCATCCATGACGCCCAAAAATGATCCCTAAACTGTGAGATATGTCTCAAATATGCTGTGCGCACATATGATGCCCACAGTAAGCTGCACAAGTAATGGCAAAAATGCTGCTGAAAGAAAAAGGCTGCACACATATATGATGCTCAAAAATGCTACAAGCACATATAATGTCCAAAAGTGACGCACAAGTCCATGATTCCCAAAAATGCTCAATGCACTATGAATGATGCATTCATGATGCCCAAATATGATCTATGAAATATTCTTAAAATATAGTGTATGAACCTGTGATGCCCCAAAATCAACCCTAGAGCAACGAAATATGCCTAAAATATACTGTACGCACATGATGCCCACAAAAAATGCTGCTCAACGAAAACGTCCAAAAATGCTGCAGGCACCTATAATTGTCAAAAAATGCTACATGAGTCCATGGTGCCCAAAATACTATACATACCCAGAAATGCTGCAGTCCCCTATGATGCCCAAAATAAGGCACTTTTGATGGCCAAAAATGCTGCCTAGGAAGGCAGCTGACTAGATATTAAGACACAGCCATGTTGTCCCACTCATACATGCGTGGCGCAAACACGACACTGACTCGCATCCACGCATCCATGAACTTTTCTGGCACCGCGCTATTCATAAACAAACCTTAACGCCACAGGCTTGTGTCAACAACACAGACAAATAAATGCAACAGACCAAGTCGTCAGTAGGATATAAAGCCACAAGCCAACTTGACACTCATTTGAATGTAAAACCAAATTAACAATTATAAGTTTATTATTATATGTTACATTTTGTTTAATCTTACTTTAATAACATCAATATGAATGCACGATATAGCAATGCATGACTAAGATTAAACAACATAGCAATGCTTTTTTAAGTAAAAGTTGTAATGGCACATTATTGAAAAACATTTGTCCCTTTATAGCAAAGAAAAAGTGAATGCAATAGTATTAATATGTTTTAGTATATGTGGATCTATTTATCAAGTGTTACTAACTGAAATATAAAATCTATATGTTGTATTCAGCGAAGCTTGGAGGAGCAATGCGCGCATTATGAATTGACATGATGAAATGGCAGACAGATAGATAACTATTTCAATACAGATACAATATTACTCACCCAAATATTGTGAGAGAAGTATCCGGTCTTTTATTTATCGCTCAAAGTGACTCGTACTCTCGCGGTTGGAGGAGTAAACTGTACTTCAACAGAGAAACGCCACCTATTTGTTTCTTCTCTGTGATGAGGAGGATGAATGGAGCGGTTTCGTTTCCCTTGCCAACACATTTGCATAAGGACCGCCTAATCCGTTCTCTGATTGGCCAATATCAGAGATTAGAGCGACTGTCAGAAATGATTCGTTTTTAATTGGATGCTCTCAACTGTCAGTCAAACACAGCTCGTTGCCGCATCCCTTACGAACTAGCGCTTGTTGCACCTTCCTGCGGGCATCACTGCGTGCCAACAGAGGAAATGTGCATGTTTATCTTCACTCGAACAGGTACTTTAATCATTTGCATTCCAAGTGTACATGTGGAAGAATCTATCTATCTATCTATCTATCTATCTAATGTAGGTGACAAATTAAACCACATAAACATTTGATCAAGTTTGTGCTGGAGATGGAATGGAATCAATTTTAGGCTACATCTGGAGACTATTGTTACAATTGTTCTCAATTGCTTTGGCTTAATTTTGAAGCCATCTTAACATTTTCTAGATGCGCAATCACAATTCAACTGCATGTCTGCAAAATAGCCTATTGTAACTTGCCCAAACCTTTTTTAGATACAGATTTTAAAAGTAGGTGAAATTTTACTGGAAAAGTCAAGTAATACACAGAAAAAGACTTATGCACGTTTGTATGTGTACAGTCCATTTATTTTTGTAGCAATGTGTTACATGTATATGGAAAATAAACATTTGCATGTCCAAGTTATAAAGTCAACAAAGTTATGAAGAGTGACAAAACTTGTCAGTTTTGACCAAAAAGCCAGTTATAGTACAAAAGTGTTGACAATTGCACTGACTCATTTGCATGTGCCAAAACAAACGCATTAAAGGGGTCATAGGATGCCCATTTTCCACAAGTTGATATATTATTACATCCAACAACAAAACACAACAGATCAATCGCTTAGGAGTCATTCTTGTCTACATCTGCTCCAGAGGTGAAACAATGGAGGACTGATGACAGCTCACTCAGGGCGGGTCTAAGGTAAGACACCAGTCCAGTCTGTGCTGAAACGCTACTCTGTCAATCAAACTATCGTGGGAGGGGCCTGTCTGTGTGACGTCACACAGACAGGCATCTGAGATCGGCTCGATTTGAGAAAGGGAAAAACATTTAACCAGATTTTTAAAAAAAACACTGTGTGGATTTTTATCATTATAGGGTGGTTGTGTACACACACTGCCAACACACATTTAAGTTCAAACAACTTGTAAAAGTGCATGTAGCATCCTTTGACCCCTTTAAGAAATTCAAATCTGGTGTGAACAAGAAACTAATTGTTTAGAGATCTGAATCTCAATTAAGAATTGAGCCAAAGCAATTGAGAAAAACTGTAATAGAATACCAGGTGACCTTGTGTTGTTTTACATCCAATACCCAACTCTCAATTCTAATTACAATATTGACAACTCAACAATTGCTGGATTAGCAAATAGTTTTCTTCTGAGACACAACATTCTATTGTTGTCCACTTACTTCTTTTTAAATGGTATCGTCCTGTCCTTCCTTTTCATCACTTTGCCTTTGGATCTCCTTGGCCATTTAGCATCACATCAGAAAGGGTGTGATTGTTTTCTGGACTCACCTTCACGCATATTCTGGGTCACTCTAAAGAACATCAGCAGACATGTCATGCACGTCCCTTCTTGTGTCCTCCCACTCCAGACTCTCCTCCACAGATGAGGAAATATGGCATCCAGCACTTTACTGGCAGGTGTCAGTATGAAATGACGTTCTGAGAGGAAAACAGCAGGTATCTGGTTTATAGTCTCTTGCAGTTTCCCGGAGATGGGCAGCATTTGGTTAACAGTTGGTTCTCACTGTGGGCTTCTGTCACAGTCAATTGAAAGTGCGTTGTTTTGCCCTGCCATCCACCCCGCTGCTGCACACATGCTATTCCAAAAGTTGATCAGAATTAGGAGACCACATATGATACTGTGAACTCTTACTGTGATGTCCAGTCCTTCCTTTGTGGATTTTTCTTTGGTATGCTTAGAAGTGGATAGGACATTTTTGGGTATATTTTCACAGTAGATGAGAGTAACAAGGTTATATTCAGGGTTGAATTGCATGTAACGTGCCCTTTACAGATAATGTCACCTACCCTTGCAAAAAAAAAGGAAAGTGTTCAAAGTGCACTTGTAGTGCACTTTAAATCTTAAAAGTATATTTAAAAACTGTACTTGCAGATAATATATGAATTAAAACACACTTAAGTACACTTTTAAAAAGTATGCTTTGTAATAATGTCAAATAAAAAGAACTATATTTTAAATCATCACATCATGCTTTAAAGTATACTTATTTTAATGTGTTGACTAACATGAAAAATTACATATAATGATGCATGAAAGTCTATCTTAAAGGGATAGTTCACGTAAAAATGAAGATTCTGTCATTAATTACTCACCCTCAGAAAGTTAGTAAGGGCATCGTTAAAATAGTCCATGTGACATCAACCTTAATTTTATGAAGATAATAATTTTTGTGCACAAAGAAAACAAAAATAAAGACTTTATTCAACAATTCTTCTCATGTGTCGTGGTACCGTCGGGAATGCTTGTCGAATACTGACACGGAAGAGAAAACATTGTTGAATAAAGTCATTTTTGGTAACATGGTAGCTGCGTTGCTGTCTATGCAGGGTCAGAAAGCTCTCGGATTTCATCAAAAATATCTTAATTTGTGTTCCAAAAATGAACAAAGATCTTACGGGTTTGGAACAACATGAGGGTGAGTAATTAATGACAGAATTTTCATTTTTGTGTGAACTATTCCTTTAAAAACACACATTAAATAATGCCATTTTATATCAATATAAGCTAAATTTGATATATTTTTTATAATAAATTAATATTTAATATATTTTTTATAATACATTTAATTGCAAATAACATATGTGTCTGAAAACATTACATTTAGTTTGCACTTGAGTGTATTATTTTAAAGGGCATTATTTTCTGTAATAAGTATACTTTTTTTCCAAATGGGTAGGCCACACAGACCAGTGTAATGCTAACCAGCTAAATATCTATTTAAATATTGTTTTAGGCTAGTGTTGAAAGTAATGTAGACTAAACCATGCTAGCAGTAATTTGATGCCAGTTCCAGTTTGTAATGTTCATATAATCCTTCAGTGATGGTAAACAGATTTGGCTTGCTGTTCAAGAGGGCTCGAGCTTGAGACTTGACTGGAGAACTAAAGTCCCGCCAAATTATTTCATAAATGAAATTAGTAATGAGCGGACAGAAATAAGGCATGAGATGAAATTGTGGAGGGATGCCAGAAGAACAGTCTTGGTATTGAGCATCTGTTTATATGCTCTTCCAACAATAACTTTAATATAATAGAAGTTTCTGGCAATAATGGCCAATAAATATAGATTTGAAATGTAAGTGTCACCATTGGGATACTCAAAATGCTCTTGAGGGTCTCAAACTTGACCTTTAGCCTCCATGGCCCGGTCAACTGCAAGCTCCATCCTTGCATCAAACAGATACAAAAGGTTCTTAATAGAGGGAAAATGTTTTTTAGATGATTAAAATGTTCTTATTGCATTATGAAAAAAATGGTTCTTTTAAAATTACTTACTGAAAGGTGTTTTAGGGAACTGAAAATGGTTCTTCTATGGCAGGGATCCTCAAATCTGGCCCACGAGATCTACTTTCCTGCAGAGTTTAGCTCTAACCCTAATCAAACACACCTGAGCATACTAATCAGTGTCTTCAGGATCATCAGAAAATCACAGGTAGGACTAATCAGTGTCTTCAGGATCATCCGAAAATCACAGGTAGGTGAGTTTGATCAGGGTTGGAGCTCAACTCTGCAGCGCATTGGACCCCCAGGGCAAGATTTGAGAAACCCTGTTCTATGGCATTGCTGCAAAGCCCTCTTTTTGGAAACCCTCTTATAGTAGTTCTGATGAGCCCATCCCAGTGTCCCAAGGTGCTGCTATTCATGGAAATGCTGTAAACATTGTAATATAAACAACTGATAATACATCATTCCTAAACCTATAGCACATTGCCACCTCAGCTTTGTTTTTACATGCACAGCCCCATTTAATCTTCATCCATTATTTGGCATGATGGAAAACAACAGTTTAACAGTTTAAACGACCTTTCCACTTGTCTCAAAGGGTGCCCTCCCCACCCCCTCTCCCTCCATTTCTCTGCCAACAGCCCACCATTGTAGGGAAAACAAATTAATTAGAGTCTGAAGAGCTGGAATCTTTGTAGCCAGCTAATCAACAGTGGTAATAATTAAGCAAAGAAGGGACGGCGTGTGCATTTAGAGAGAGGTGACATGGCTGGATCAATGGGAAAGGTATCATGGAGCTACAGAGCATCCAATCAGACTAGCGTGGCGCTGTTGCAGAATTACCTGACCTCAATTCCCCTTCCCCACACATCCTGACCTTTAAAGCAGAGAGACGTTTTATTTCCTTTTTATATCAGAGGCCTTTTAATCAAATTAGGGCAAATGTCTGCCTCTGACCCTCTTTGCTGAGGTCATGATTTGCCATTTTGTTTATCCTGTGACATAAAGGTTAGCTCAGAAGATGAGTCTACATGATGATGGTTAAAGAGGCTCACGCTGGATCCTTTACTAAAAGCAGGAAATAAATCTATCAAAATTCTTCTAGTTATAAACATATATGAACTAGATTTTTACATTCTCTGAAGAATATGTGTGAATGTTAGCTTGATGTGCAAAACTACTTCGTAGTTGCTATGCTGTTGTTTTAGGTGGTGTGATAATTTATTCCCTAGTTGGCTAAGTTTCCTCCTTCCATGTAAGTCTATAGTATTTTTTCACCTGTTTTAATCACAGAATGTGTAGATGTTTAATAATTTGGGATAGAGTTTTGTTTCAAAGTATGAACAATAGTTATTAGGGATGCAATCTTTAATATATCAGTCATTAGCCAAATATTACAGAT